AACATTTCATTTCACTGAGATTTTCGGACGAGGAGTTTGGTGTGTTGAAAGTTTTATTTTTCACCGCTTTATTCTTTACGGCCACACTTTTCTTTATATTTCTTTGGTTTGTCAGTAAATTCACATACTTGGGCGTTACCCTCGATGAGGAACTGAAATGGAAAGCACATGCTGAAGATGTTCACAAGAAAGTATCCAAGCGACTCGGTCTCCTCAGACGAATACGCTCCAGTCTCACTCTGGAGAGTATGCATTATTGAACCAAATTTTAGCTACGCAGACACAGCCTGGGGTGAACTACCCGAGAGCAACATCACTAGTCTGCAACGATTACAATATTTACAATATTTCGGGCTGTCCTTGTACTTTTCCGACAGGTGACGATTTTCGCGGCTCGATTTTGTAATCTTGAGCTGCTTGTAAATTGGCCAGATTTAGAAACACTGCGAAAAATACACAAATGTATTTTAGTATATAAATGTTTAAGGAATCTCGTTCCTACATACTTAAAAAAATATTTTAAAGTTAACAGTGACGTACACAATTATAACACTAGGCAGAGGAGAAATATTCACCCAAGTAAAACAAATCTTGTTCTTGGAGGGCGAACTTTTAAAAATTCAGGACGTTTAGCCCGGCTTTAATTCACTGCCAAGCAAAATCAAAGAGGCAAGTTCTCTAGAAATTTTTAAACGCCTTCTTAAAGGACATTTCATCTGATTTTATCTCTTCTTTTAATCTTAGCAAATTTTATTCAACTTTGCAATTTTATTGGAAATGTGTATAAGTAAATTTTATAGAAACCAGGGCCCCTAAGAATACCAGCCTCGCAGCTGACTGGGCCACCCTGGCTAAATAAAGTTGTCTTGTCTTGTCTTGTCTTTTCTTTTTCGAGAACAATTCGAGTGAGGGCTTGAACCTCCCTAACCAGCTCCCTAATCACTCAGTCATGTTGCCTCCCTTGCACGATCTGCATTGCTTACCAAAAGAATTGCGACTCAAGGAACGAAACTAGCATGTTCTGGCTGAATAGCTTGTGCAGTGGCTAAAATGCGGTTTACTTGTGTTTTCCCATCATCACAGGCAACCCAGGCGTTGAATGCGATCTGGGAAGAAGCATAAGAATGCTGCTAAAATTGCGTATGGTATGATCAGCGGCTAACCCTTTTTTATGTATCTTTGTTCGATGATGTGGCGACAGCTGATCCCGCCCGAACGTTTCCCACGAAAACCATGTGATTCCCAAAAACCCTACCCCTCACCGCTAGACAATAAATTAAGACTGGTCCCTTCGAATTACACTCCAGCGAGAGCCATTTTTCCCCGAGGACACTGGTGAGATAACTCGAGGATGAAGCATAGAATGGTCTTCCCCATATATAGTCTGTTGGAGAAGGCATGTACTAAAACCAGTAACACCGTAACGCCCGGCCTCGTAACACCGTAACACCGTAACACCGTAACACCGTAACACCCTGGAACACCGCAACACCATAAAAGCCGAAACACGAATTTGACGGTGTTGTTTTGTTTTCCCATTACAGATCATGTAAAGAATAAAATGTAAGGGTGTTGTAAGGTCTTAGCGCGCGAAATGTTCTCTTTGTTTTCTCATTCTATCAATCATAAGGGTGTCTCTTTGTGTTGTCGCTGTTTCTCGTCGTTCATTAGTATTTTTCGCTGGTTAGTTAGCTTCTGTTGTTTCTATGTCACGTATTTTTCGTTCATGACTTTCTTTCGTAATATAGGCGTGAATTGCACTTTAATTTANTTAGTATAAAATGTATTAACTCACATCTCGAATGTTAATTAAGTGTCTTTGTTCGAAAGAAAAACAGCTAGCTTCTCCAAAGAGCAATGTGCTACGCGCAAAGCAAATATAACATCCGTCGATGTTTCAATTTTGTATCCCTCACTTCACTAACTATAGATGAGGCAATTAATTGACCACACCTATAACCAGAAATATATTTAACGAGAATTTCACACTCCTTACCTTTACTAGTATTCTCTTCGCGCGAACCCTTTACCTTGTAAGCAATCCCTTGTTATCAGCTCTTCGTCACGAGCTTTTCTTTGCTCGCGGGAAATGACGAGACCTCGTTATTCGTCCCCATTCTTCTCAAATCTTCCTGCGGGAGGGGAAAGGCTTGCCCTGCAGTGATGATTATGAAGTCCTTCCTCCCACTCTCTCCCCACTATGCTTCGATTCTCTGGACATTTCTCGCATCCAGTTTGAACTCTGATAAAACCTTCAAGAGCTCAATGCTGTTGTGAAATTGAGATAGGCAAGCAATTTTGAAACCCCTCGGGAATATCGGCATCTCACATTTGACAATTGATAATATTCAGCACGACAGTTTTACAGGTTAATGGTTAACGGTCTATTTTTTAGGAGGAAGTCATTAAATCCTCAACAGATAGAAGGCTTACTTACAAAACTGGACCAAAAGTTTTCTTTTACCTTTTTTCTTTATTTTCATTTAGATTGATATTTTAGTGAACAATGGTGGCCGATCGCAAAGATCTCTGGTGAAGAAGACTTCTCTAGAGGTGGACAAAGCTCTCATAAATTTGAATCTTATTGGCACGATCTCCTTGACCAAAGCAGTTCTTCCACACATGATAGAGCGCCTTTACGGACAAATTGTGATAGTCAGCAGTGTTCTGGGAAAGTTTGGTAATTTTTATGTGTTGTTTTTAATTATATTTTTACCTTTACGTTATTTTAAGTGAGTGACTTCTTTGGAGTGAGGTATGTGACTACTTCGTGAGACCAAAGATAATACTTAATTGTTAACGTATTTTTCTTTTGAGACATGATGTCTAAGCCTTAGTAAGTACATAGAACTATTTTTTTTTTTTACCCACAAGATTATCAATGAGTTTAGATCATGGCTTCCCTACATTTAGCAACTACTGGTTCTTTAAGAACTTTTACTTTGGTGGTTATGGAGATGCGCATGCTCTGATTTATCTGCGACTGCTTTTTACCAACATTACTGATCTTGTACAGGATGGCCTTATGGAGCTGCATATTGTGCCAGTAAACACGCGTTGCAGGTATGTAATAACTTTGCTTTCAGCCGTTCCTACTCGGAGAAGTCTGTCGTACGAGTAAAAAATAATTAAGCAACAAAAAAAAGTTGTCTTCCCTGATTTCTTTTGACTTGGACGACCACTTCTCGTGGTCTAGGTTGCGATTTACAAACGCATGGACACAATCGCCGGGCGTAAGGGATTTTAAGGGCCTTTAGTAGCTGTGGTAATGCTAACTAGATCCGGGACCTTCTAATTATGTTGACGAGAGGAGAATACAACATGGCGGTTTTATATTGACTTTGTGTCCACTACTTTGTGAAACGAATACTACGGTAGCCCGTCCCATTTTTCTTCAGCGTGGTTAGTTTGAAAAATCAATTCAACTATTGTTCTTCCATTCTTTATTTTGATAATGATTTCATAAGAATCCCAAATCATTATTAAGCATTTTAAGATCTTTCTTTCTTTAAATTTCCATAGCAATCCCACAGCATTTTAGGAACAACCCAATTCTTGGCTTTATGTGCTTGTAGTTAACTGAAAAACGCCGGACTCAATCATTTACTTTTTCCAATCATCGAATTGCAATACCAGTCACATGAATCGTCTTTTTGCAAAGTTCTTTTGGAATATATATTGAGGATTTGGAGCCATCAAATCTATATTAAGTTATCACTGAACTCAAAGAACAGAAGTTTCTTTTAAAACGTTGCAAAAAGAATGAAAAAACGAGAAGTGGTTCAGACTCTAAAAAAACCATTCAACTTCTTTCAAGCTCATCAAACTTCGCTGGAACATTACGATTGTTTTCCTTTGACGGACATTACTGTTCGTTTTTTGCTCTAATTGTTAGGGGCTTATCGGCGATCAATGAATAATTTTTTATTAGGGCTACTTTGACAGTGCGCGGATCGAGTTGACACAGCACAACATCCAAGTTCAGACTGTTCTTCCGGGACCAGTGAAGTCAAACATTACTCGTCATGCTTTCACAGAGGACGTCAACGTTGTAAGAAAAGAAGGCTTCGATTTACTACCCATTCGTTAATTATACATTTTTTTTTATCTGGGATACACTTTAAATTAAATTCAGAAAACAATAACTGATCTAAACACCATGAAAAACAGAACGAAGTGGTTATAATGAGTAGAAGTCATGGACCTGTAACACATATGAGGACAGAGAGAAGGAAGAGGGTGTGGTAAAAGAAAAATCTATCCATTACCTTCATTTTCCTTGGAAAAAAATTAATGTTAGAGATTTTGCTAACTCAGCGAAATTATATTTTTAGAACAATCTTGCATGGACAGAGTCTGTACATCGCGGGAATTGGCCATTTCCGAGAAGCCTGTTCTAAACCGTGATTAATTACGAAACCCTCGATGCGAAAACTTAAACTTTTTTATCTTTTTTTTTATGATTGCAAACTTTTTCACCTCAACGAAGATTCCCCTTGGCCCTATTCTGATTGTTACAAACACTGGCTATTCCAGTCCTTCCCTCGCAACACCTCATAATCTTTCCAGTTATTTGAAGAATATTTTCTGTTTCATCGATAGAACCTCGGACTGAGTTTTTTTCTTTCTAATTCACAAATTGCTATTTCATTTGATACTAATTCACAATCAGCAATTTAAAGAGACATCGAATTACCAAGAAATCCAGGCTAGAAAAATGCCTACTGAACGTTGTGCAAAGCTGATGTTGGTGGGAATGGCGAACAATTTGGACGAACTATGGATTTCAGAAAACCCGATGCTACTTATGACATATGCCAACCAGTACTTTCCAACTGTCTTCAGATGGTATGAGTTTTATCTGAGGATTTGTCTTACTTTCTTACTTACCTACTCACTTCCCTAACTACTCGTCGAGATCTTAAAAGATATGCAGTTTAGTCGTCTTTTATAAGAGATAGTGACTTGGAATTACAAGCTCGCAATCATTCACCGAGCCACCTTGTTTGATTCAGAATTCCCCCCCGTCCCTGCATTTTCTTTGCTTTCATCAACACTTGCTAAGTTAGTCTGTCGAAGGTGGCCTTGATAGATTGGGTGATATACTATATTCCTTGTGATGGGTTGAGGAACTAACCGTGTGAGTAAAGAAAGTTGCTTCTTACATTGTTGGGATTTGTATCAAAACGTTTCAGGGGCGTAGCCAGGATTTTTCAAAAGGGGGGGGGGGTCACAGAGGCTACTCACCAGATTGTCAACCTTCACGCCGTGCATGTTTTACTTAATGTTACAGTTGGGATGAGCAGTGAGAGTATTGTCGGCAGGCCGAGATATTGTCATGGCGTTTTCGCCACCTGAATATTGTAGGTTATTTGCTCAAAAGAAGGCCTACGGGGAGGGGGTCACGGGCACCCTAGAACCCCCCTGGCTTAATTCATAAGCATATTTCAAAATTGTCCCAGATAAGTCAAACAGACAATTGCACCATCCCAATATAGGAAAAAATACGCGGAATAGACCTGTGTTTGGATTTTTACAACTTCGTTAGGTCCACGGTTTTGAATGATTTGGTGGCCCCGTAGAAAGTTTCAACAAAACCCCTGCTTTGACTCCTCCAACTGACCTCCCTGTGGTTTTAATGACAGTACTTTGCACTTTCCTTTCTATTCAGGTTTTCTAATGAATTCTTGCTGGAGCGAATTACGAAATTGTACATGAAGGAGAATTAAGCCTGGAATAGGAACGAAACAAATGGTGCCAACGGTCAGGAAAGACGTCGTTTGAAAGTGGAAGATATGTAATATGCTCTGTCGCGCCGTGGGGATACGCGGGTACTTTCAGAGCCCGTGTCTGCATCCTGTTACACTTTGAACTTAGTGTCCACGCCCTATTAGCGGTTTCTTACTCACGACACTTAGGCTGTTCTTGCGCAAATCAAACTTTGTTTTAATCAGCAGATCGGAGGATTATATCTTCTCTCGCTGGTTAGACAAAAAACTCTCTCTTTCATTTTTACTTGTGCTTCTCGCATCTTTCCATCAAACATTAGGCAGGGATCTATGATCCACTTGGAATTTATTTTCGATCACGGTACTTGCAACCCATCTAGATTTTTAATTGCCGGACAAAGACGATATTTCTGCTTACAGTGGGCTAAGACAGTTTCCAAAGTCTGGTAAAAGGTACATCTCCGAAAATATGACGAAATTGACATGGGCAGTTTGCATTTCTTTTCTCGTTTTCAGATCAGGCGTTTTCTTTGTTTCTAGACTGCAAAACATTTTTCCGTGGTTTCCTTAAGCCTCTGAATAAAGTAAGAAGTGATCAGCAATCACTTAAGCGTTTCAGTTGTACTCACTTCGTCACTGGATCTAAAAAAATATTGAGCCTGTCCACAGCATTGTTGTTTCTTCCTTTGCTGGAGTGAAGTGATTGAAGCAAACACGCTTGGAAAGCTTTTCTCTTCCCTCAACCTCATTATTTCGTTCGCACTCCTTATTTCGTCGAGAGGGATTGTGAACAGGCCAGAAAAACTGAAATCAATGACACCTCTCTTAGAGAGAGATGTAGATAAAGAACTGACATTTCAGGTTTCTGAAAGGGTGTTTTGGGAAAACTTCTTTGTCTAGCACCATTTAGCGTATTCATAGAAAAAGGACTTGAGCAGCGAGCGATAAGTTTTTTTAAACAGGTTTTATCTTCGAATACGCCCTTCGAGGCTTGCAATTCAGTCATTTGCCGACTGAATTAAAAGACAACCTTTTGCCTAACGTATTGACCTCTTAAGATGCAAAACTAAAACCAGTTATAAACGACTTGGTCGCCCGAGTTTTCCCGCGCTTTAGGAAGTTTGGTTGGTTTTTCTTTAGGGACCTTAAGCAAACCACGACGGCGACGGCAACGAGGACGTGGAAAAACAAACGATCTAATTGGAAGAACAATAGCCCAGCACGTGCATTTTAAAACTTAGTACATTTCCTAGCCGTCCTTTGCAAAACAACAACGTGAAATCACCAAACTTTGCGTCGTCTTTAAACCGAAACCGTGATGCCAAATTATTTTAATTGCCATTTAAAACTCAACGCTACTTTTATACGTTATGTTGAGGTTGAGTTGAGGCGCCGTATGAGATGGTAAATACATGCAGCCATTTTGGAAATTCTGATTAAAAGTAGAAATTCATTTTTTAAACAAGGTCTTCCTCGGCGTTGGCGTCCTGACTGCGTAAGGTCCCTTTTGAGTTCCTATAGACTCTTCAGGATATTTTCCTTCTCTTAATTGTCCTTCTTGATTACTTGTGTTTTGGTTTGTTCTTTCTCATTACCTTAGAATTTGCTGCTGAATTTAAACAATATCCCACGTCAAGAGATTATGAATTCTCTTGCCCTAGTTGATACATACATATTTTACATCAAAACGTTTTGCTTGGAAATTTTCTGAAATCATAAAGAGAAATTCCTTTTTGATCGCTCCCGGGAATGAAAGCGGTTAAAAGGCCGAATTGAAAGAATCAAATTGATAAACAACGTTAATTGTTAGGAACGGTTTGTGATGAACTATTTGGAATCACCAACATGACATCTTTAAAATTATCTTTGCACATGGCAAATTAAAGTTTCGTAGTCCTTGCTTCATTTCCGAAAGGCTTCCATTTCGTTGACATATCAATCGTCATTTTTTGACTATCTTTTCAAGATCAACCCCTAATCTTAACGGGCTGTCGCTCGCAAATGTATGTTCAGAATGTGTATAGTTTTAATTGCGCACTGCATTACTAATTGTCTGCAATCCCATCGAGTGGGTTTAGTTAATGTGAAGCCGGTCGAAACGACGAAAATACTCGCGCATTTTGGAACAAATTAACTTGACTCGCCCTGAAAAAAAAAACTCTCTTTAGAAAAATGAAACGAAATTGTCAAGTGGTTTGACTTAATTGCAGTGCAACGATTAAGGAGAAATCGATGCTATTCGGAGTCAATTACAGCTTTATCAGCAAAACCGACTGAGTCAATAAATGGAAAAGATTGTTTGTTATGGCTTTTCATTGGCGCTTAATCCGATTGTCAAATTTTTAATTACTGCTATCTTGGTCGTGATCTTCAGGTAACCTTTAATCTAAGATAAAAAGCGCAATTGTTCTCACCGAGCGTAGTTCAAGTACTCAAGTATGCGAACTTCCTTTTGTCGATTTTCAACGCCGGAGGCGGTTTATTGATGAATTTCTCTCGTGAAGATAAACATTAAGTGATTTTTTTGCGAACACATCCGGTCCAGCGCGCGTGTTTCGTTTCACACTTGTGTTTATCAGCCCGATCAACGCTCTGTTTGAAGTAAAACCAAATCAAAGACGCCGCTAAATGCTTAATACAATAGCTCTACTGGAGACCAAAGATTATATACTTTATTAATCGATTGCACATGGTACCCGAGAACTCCAGAGTAAGGTAATGGCGTTCAAGAGAGTTAACGAAAAAATTCTGATTGAGTTATGAAAGGGCAAGCTCGCTAATTCCCAACAGAATAAACTGCTGACACACTTTGTAGTTTGATATCCCTTGGCAAACAATCCTTTTTGCCTTAATAGCTCAAAGACAGTCACAACTTGTGTTTAAAATTGATATGTAGAACGCGCCTTCTCAACTTGAAAGTTTCGCTCTGTTTAAACGTGGGTCTGCGACAAAATCTACTTTGTTTTCTCTCGCGACAACATTTTAATTCATTCAAACTAAATCGAGCTAAATCCACTCAAGACTCAAACTATCAGATGAAGCAATTGCCTGTCTCCTGTCTGGCATGGTTACTAAAAGGTGTTTGCTTAATTTTGTCAACGAACAGTCAAAGTTGTTTGTCCAGTGCATTAGTTGTTAACGACTCCAAGTGCGTGCGATTCAAATATGATAGAGCGGAACAATCAGCGAGCACTTTTAGCTGAAGAGAACTAAATAATATTTCGGTTTTTTATGTTACAGCCGGTCTCGTTTGCGCGACGGGCGGCGTTTTCGATTCTTTCACTACTGTACCATGCCATGCCGATGAATTTCACTTTGTCAATTGTCCTTTCACACAGAAATAAACGTCTCAGAATCTTGATACGTACTGCAGGCTAGGTCAGATTTTAGATGAACTCTTTCGAACATCTGTTTCCTTAGATTTTAAAACTTTTTTTCAACAATTTGACTGAGTTCTGCAGTAGTTGAGAATGTAATTGCTAAAGGCCGAAAGTACAAAGGAAAGCCACTTTAATCTAAAGTCTCCTTCGTAAGCCATTAAAAAAAATACCCTACCAGTAATTGCACACTGAAAGTGAGAATATCTCGAAACAGCATTAAGCTGTACACACCTTTCACTTTAAGTATTTGTTTCAAAAGATAACGAAATGGTTCAAATATAGTCTGCTGACAGTTTGATCCGAAGCTAAGCATTACCGTCGCTGATAGTTTGGAAAATGCAAATATGGGAAAGATTGGTTTCCCGTGCGGAACTTCAGTGGGTATAGAGATCTTTGTACACACAAGAGATGTGTGGTTTCCTCAGATTTTGCGGTACCTCGTGGGACGCGAGTAAGACTTTTTAATTGTCCTTCACCAAATTGATCAGAAAACAATGAAACATAGATTGTCGGCAGAAAAATTGAGTAAAAAAAAATCTTACCTTTAGTAGTGTCGCGGAAGGAAATTTGAAGCGAACCAAAAAGCGGAATGTTTGGAAGAGGAAAGAAAAATTTAAGGTTATGACTTCTATACCTAAAAACACTCTTACTCGAAAGTCGTCAATAATCTGTGCGAAAAGATAAACTCAAAAGGGTGTAATTATAAATTACAAGGTATTGCAAAACATATCGATAAAACGTTTAAAACTTCGCCAACTTCGCTAATTTTGTAAGCTGTTCGACGGAAACCATTTGTTTTCAATTAACTATATCTACTGTTTATGGATGGTGCACGAAGTTCTAATTTAGATAGTGTGCAATTTTTGATATCATTCAATCTAATTATCAGGCGACCAGCCGTGAAAAGAGAACATGCAATTTCCAATTCATCTTTATTTACCGCAAAATTGAACGCAGACTTTTCTACATGAATGACGCATTTAAACCATTCGCCCCAATTTCTTTGCCAAAAAAAGACATATTTCCAAACCTTTCCAAAAGAAAACAAGTTGGGAGAACTGGTCGAGGTATGGATTTGTTGATAAAATGTCTTTCAGTAGAGGGGTTGTTAATTAAGACTCAGTGTTACCAATAGCTCTTTATAACAATGAAAAGTCCATAGTTTGAGTCGTTCCAATGGCAGGGGGTCTATAGTTGTCAACCAAATAAAATATAATTCATAGCCTTAGTTTCAATAAAGCGGAGTCGTAGAAAATTGACAATTGAGCTGTGTACCGTTTTAGCTTAATTGAAATATCCAGAGCGCTTCAACCGTTTTCGCTTAAGCTTGAAACGGTCTTTTAAATCAGATCGACGAGTTGTTTGTTATAAATGACTTGGCAGCAAGAAACCCACTGTGCGTTGATATGATTTCCAATACCATAACCTGAGTCGGAGAACAACGGAACGCGTGGAGAGCAATTAAAGAATCTGTAAAGTTAAGAAATCGTTTGGCAGTCATAGATCCGAATAAATGCTGACTTTATCCTGAAATATACTCCGTATTGAGCGACGGTGCTCAATTATTACACGAATGAATTGCTCGTTGGCCAATTGCTTCCTACACTACTGAGTTAACCTATGTATGATTTGGTAAAATTTACTCACTAAATGGCGATTTGAGCTCATTAAGCGTTCGGGGTCTTTCGTAAACGAGCGGTTTCAGGCTTTTTACAGTTCAACTAGCTTTTTTACCGTTTAGGATCTCCTTAATCGGTTACTTAATTTATGTAGGTGCGAAACCATTGTAAAGATAATTGTCTTTATGCGCTGAGATCTAGAAAATTGATCAATTAAAACCGTTGCTTCCGAACTGTACAAAAGGGAAGTTTAGGTTTAAAAAGTGGCAAGTGAGTTCAAGTAAAATAAATAACAGATTTTTTACACCTTCTGATATTCTACATAGAGTTTCATCCTTTCATACTTCTCGCCAGCTAAGCTTTAGCTGCTCTCTTCCAAATCCGAAGTTTTGTCGTCGTTGTCGAAGACATTTCCAGACGTACTATCTTTGTTGTCAGAATGGTCGCTTTGTGAATCTTTCTCCGTGTCAGCTGTTGTTTCACAAATTTTTTCCTGCTTTTTCCATTTTGTTCGTCTGTTTTGAAACCAAATTTTGACTTGTGTTTCAGTGACGTTTAGCAGAGCGGACAGGTCGCTTCGCTCCGTAGCAGTCAAATATTTCTTCTCTTTAAATTGCTTTTCGAGCTCGAAAATCTGCCGACCAGTGAATGTGGTCCTAGCTTTTTTCTTCTTGACTTTTTCCCTTCCAGATTTGCCTTTCAGTCTTTTTACTCCCTTGGAATGGACTGAAGAAGAATCTGCTTTTAACAGAAAACCGAGAACATTTAGAAAACTGATCCTTGTCAATACGCTGCCTGTACCAACTTCCGAACTCGTTAACACCGCATGAAGTCACTTACCTTTTATTTCTGACTTTGATTGTTCAAGCCCCTTCTCATCAACATTACAAGTTGAATCGTCATCCAGCTCGCTTTGTTTTGCTTTTAAAACAAGGTGGCATTTACCAAGCGTTCGTTCTTGCTGAGAGAATCCGTTTGTTACGTTGTTCGGTTGGTGGCCTGATTGAAGACCGAGAATGTTGGCAACAAAATGTGGTGTTGGTTGCTTTGGAGGATGGTTGTAAATGTGGCGATGCCACGTTCCAACTGAAGCCATGATGAACGGTTCTTTGGCAGGGGTTTAGTGGAGAAGCATCTGGTTAAATGTGCTGTAGCCAGAACGTTTCGTACGCGTAGCAGATTGAAGCAATTGTCGCAGCCGCGCGCTTGTGCTGCACTTATCTGACAGCTCTAGGACAAAACAGAGCATGAAAGCTTGCCGCCTGAGAGCTCATGACATATCATATAAAATCAATAACGCGATTGTATTGACGATAAAGGCAATTAGTAAAATTTGCTGACAAATACAGGCGTCATATCTGCTCGGAAGCGCGCTTTCTATTGGCTCGCATGGCGAGCGCATCTCTCAGAGCATGCGGTCATTGGTTAGAGGACACTCCGTAGCCAGAGGCCATTTACAAGGATGTTTAATCGCTAATTTGGATAATTTTCGTGTCAATCAAATTCCGATGTTTTTAAACATAGCTTTCTCGCGCTAGAGGCTTAATTGTTAGCCTTTTCCATATGTTTGACTTTGTAAAATTCAGAGCATCTTGTTGGCTTGCTGACGTGGACCATCCAGCTATGAATACGCCTTTACAATCTCAGGAGTTATAAAAACACCAGTCCGTAAAAAACGTTTGGCATCGTTGAGGACATGTGGAAAATTGATTTTAAAACAACTGCTCATTTAATGGGTTTCATATTGGGCAGAATTTCAGCTTCTTCTCTCGTGATCCTTCGAGTGAAAGAACACTCGCTATTTGTACAACTAGATGTTGTTGTTCACTGCATTTTGCATGGTTTCTACAAAGTTTTACTCAAAACCGAAGTCATATGAGCAATTATTTTGAGATCGATCGAAACCGCGAGCTTTTCCCGTGATCTAATTACACCAATTTAAAGAGAGAACTTTTGGTTAAGCGTTGTTTAATGGGCTTGCAATCAATCCAGGAGCAATAAAAGATGAGAAAATGACTTTTAAGGTGAAACCCCACGAATTTTTGGTGTTTAAGATTCACAAGCAATTATTTTTCCCATGAATTGCTGTATATATGGAAATTCACTTTAAGCTCTAGTTTCTTTATCTGATATTTCATCAGCGGCCCCTGGTTGAACTTAAATTCCTACCATAGAAATGAGCAAAATGGTAACATGTGCAGGTTAACTTGATGGATATTACAGCAGGAGAAAAAAGTCATGGATCCCCCGATAACGCAGCAATAGATCTTAAAGTTGTCTTGATTTCCACTGCTCTCATTATTACAAAGTTACTTATTTATATTGGACCTTCTGCTCCTCAGCAATAACAAAACGCTGGGTGGTGAGGTCACAAGACTTCGACAAAGTTGTAAAAAACAGTTACGCGCTGTTTTGAAGAATAATTTTTGACGCATACGTTTTTTAAATTCGAAAGCTATGAGTAACAGGAAACCAGGCCGTAATTAAGAACATTCTAAGTAAATATTGCTTTCACCAATAAGGCAATTCAATACAAAAGCTTTAGGACCCTAATCTCTGTTTTCTTGATGTTTTCCATGAAAACAGGAAGAATTTCGCCGTGAAGTCCACAAATTGCGACGCGTCATTCAATTTCGCCATTTTGCCCTCCATCAATTATTTGTTGAAATCAACACATAGTTGTGTAGCAACAGTGAAGTATTTCTGTTTATCGAAAAAGCCATCCTCCGGCAATGAAAAGGTAAAAAAAGTCCTGCAATCATTTTGAGACTGAAGTCTGAGTTCGATTGAGAACAGCTGTGTCTTTTTTGCTCACGTTTTGTTTGGACACGCGCGGCGCCGCGATGGATCGCTCGCACTTCATTGTGAAGCAATTAACGATAGAGATCCCGACCGTTACTATTAAGACTTTGTTTTTATCCTCTCGAATACAAGTGTGAATCAAAAGTCATTTAACACACTCTTGAACTCTCCATCTACAAGGAAACAGAAAATCGTTTCCTAATTTGATTGACACTGAAGAGACTGAAAGTGTTATTCAAATGACTATTTCATCATCTTTTTGCATGGCTAAACGACAGGTTCCAGTTTTGAAACGTGTCAGGTTGAATCTTTAATGAACCGCGCTAAATATTAGTAAACTACATAAAACGCTTGTGCATAAAATATAAACACGAAGGGCTTGGAGAAATTCACATTGGATTTTCTTACTAAGCTCTTCGACATTTTCACTTTAGCGTTTAGATGTTACAAAAAGCTCCGTTCATTTTAAACGGCATACGTTTTGATAATACTTGACTAAAGTGCTTCCTCAAAAGGTCCGTCCATTATCTGATATCACTTACGAAAGTGTCAGAGCTCTCGATGGGTGGTTCTCAAGCTATTTGCATTTGATCGTTTGAGCAGACAATTAATCGGGAAGTTTTGTCTGAGCACATCACCTGAAATCATTAGTTACATCAGAGCTTTAAAACCCGTGAATTTTAATTCTCTTTTCAGTCATAAAAGCTTCAAAACAGAGGTCCAGTTTGTTAGTCGTTTAACCACGGTTAATTATTCACTATCAGTCGGTTGATTCTCAAAATACATTGGCGTCGATCAATTTATAATGCATTGAAAGAAACCGGAAAGGTGATTTTTAATGAGCGAGTGTTTATTAATGTCTCAGACGTAATCTTTCTGTCTCATCTGTCAAAGTACGAAATACAAGAGGACTTAAGACCTGGCCGAGTTATTCAAGCAGCTCTGCATTTACTAAGGGAACACCACTTTTTGTCAGTGAAATTTTGAAGAAGAAAGCGCTAAACCCCGAGGGAGGTGGGGTGGGGTATACTGAACATTTGCGGAGAGGAGGTAGGGATGTTGGATGTTCCTTCAAGCGATAAGATGAGGGGTGTCAACTTAGTTTAAAGGTTGAAGAAATAGAAAAACTGCAAATATTGCAATGACCTCCAGGTTTAATTAAGAAAGGAGATGTGGCATGTACATTGACAGTTGAACAGAAATTATTATAAGTACTATAAGTACTGTTATGCGAACAATAGCGCCACTCTTTTAGTATTCAGATTTTGAGCGGTTATTCGATCTGGTTGCCAACGAAAAAGCATTTAAAACTATGGGGGTGAGAGGTTACGCCAGAGGGTGATGTCTTCCAGAAACGAAACAAGCAAGGACGAGAGAGCTATTGCAACACTTTTTAGCATAGAAGGTGATCTTCACGTGCTCTGTTTGTTTTAATCGAATTAAAGATTTGTCTGGCCGTTGCGCCATATATCACTGATCAGTTTCGCGGCTCGTGGATTTACTATTGCTAAAGAGACCAGAAAGCGGTCACTTAACCACAAAGCTGGCGACATACAGCCATATCGTCAAGGCCAATGAGTTTACATTATGCTACTACATATATCTTTCATGATTCCACTAGCCCTGAAATCATCGACCAATAGTCTTAGTATTAGACTATTGAAAGCACCCTTAAAGTGAGAATCGCTGAAATCCAGCATTTGGAAGAGGGGAGGGGGGGGGTGGGGGTAGGGAAGGAGTATATCCTAGTAATGAGTTAATGTTGATGTGCCGGTGGATGGGGTCGCAATTTCACGACTTGAAAAGACTTCTCCGCCTGTTCCTAACGTGTAGCTCCATAGCTTACTTTGCAGAAGTCAGTAGAACTGGTATCTGAAAGGCACGGGTTTCGTCTCTATCTAGGCCTGAAAATCTCAGACTTTTTTCTAGAATGACTTAAGTTGTAGTTAACATTTCATAATAGTGCAACAATTGTCAGACATATAATACAAACAGTCCATTTATAATTAAACCTCGATCGACTGGGATGATTAATCATTGAATTGAGCGAAAGGGTTACGACCCGATATCAGTAGCTGAGACATTTCACATTCCCATCTTGTCATCTAATCTATATTCTAGCCATACCTTGGGTCTAACGTCGAAAGCATTTTGTCAAATGACAGCTCATCCATAAACTAGATCTTAAAATCAAGCACTTCGTGAATTTATTGACGCGAATTGTCGAAAATTTTCCACTCTTTTTAAAACCGAAAGCGTGCTTCATCAGTTCAGGACAACTGATTTGAACTGATAACCTCATGTAGCCTTCATAGTATGCATGGCTTAGTAAT